GCACCAAATCGCAGATCCTGGTGGGGTGAGATGGGTTTGTCCCCACCCCGGGTTGGTCACGCTGCTGCGCCGGGGCTGCAGAAGGGATGATGACGTCTCCAGCTCGTGTTTTCCCCTCTCCAGGAGATCTGGGGGGGCTCAGCCACCCCCTCCCCGCCAACGCCAGCCTTTGCTCACTTTGGTTCCCCCGGCGGATCCGTGGGCGCCAGCGGGAGCTGAGCTGCCGCGGCAGTGGGAGGCTCCATGCAGGCTGAGCTGAGCGACGCGGCTGCGGAGAGGAGAGGAGGATTGAGCTCCTCTCCCTCTCAAAACCATCTCTGGGGAATCTCCAGAGCACTCCCAGCTTCTTTTTCGATCTACACTCCCTTGAAGGATCCTGGGGGATCTCTAAGCCCTGAAGGATGCCTCTTGTGCAGGCAGAGCCTTGCTGGAGGCTGGGAGGGCTCAGGGCCACCTCAAATCCCAGCTGCTTCCCTGCCTAGAGGGTTGGGGGCTGTGCTTCACCTTTGAGGGCTGAAACCACTGCCCAAGATCACCTCCACAAGCTGGAGAGCCTAGAAGTGTCTTGTGGGAGAGCAGCAATCCAGGAGATCTGTAGGATCCAGCCAGAAAATCCACACTAAGCTCCAGCAGAATATCTTTACGCCTCAATTCAGCGCCTCTAAAATTAGCTGGAGACATCTCAGTGTCACACACACCAAGCTGCTCCTGTAATCCCAGTTCCTCCCAGCAGCTTCTGCTCTGGCACACATTGTTTTCCAGATTTTCACTTTTAACCCCTTCATTTCTTCAGGAGGAAAGACCCTCAGATGGTGGAAAGCTTCCAAACTCCATTTCCCCAGCCTGGCTCCATGGTGGGGAAGCTTTTCCGTTTCCTATCTATCCCCACTGGTTGTTGGCCACACATCCAACATCCCTGCAAAGGTTTTGTAGGGGTGGTGGAAGATAAATGCCATCCTATTCCTCCAGGACCTTCTGGGATGTGGACAATTGTCCTGGATCCAGTGGCCGACACTCTGACAGCTGAGCAGGGCTTGGAGAACGTGACGCTGCAGGACATCTACTTTGGGGACGTGTGGCTTTGCAGTGGGCAGAGCAACATGGCAATGACAGTCCTGCAGGTAAGGCCACATGGCACGGATCAGGCGAGAGCACCAGGGAAGTGCCTTACGTGCTCCTGCCCTTCCCCAGGTGGCCAATGCCAGCGAGGAGCTCACTGCCGCCACGCGCTATCCCTACATCCGCATCTTCGCCGTGGCACCTGCCCACTCTGACTTCGAGCTGGAGGACCTGGAGCGGATCGACTTGCCATGGTCCATCCCAACGGCTGGTGAGTGCAACGTGCCTCCAAAAGAAAGCCTGGAAAAGGTTTTGCGCCCCCCCCATTTTCCCTTTGCAGCCTGCTGTTTCTTGAGCAGAGAACCTGGGCCATGGGAATTTCACCTACTTCTCGGCTGTCTGCTGGCTGCTGGGGCGCTCTCTGTACGAGGTGCTGGGGTACCCTGTCGGGCTGGTGGAGGTAGCCTGGGGAGGGACCCCCATCGAGGCCTGGTCCTCCCGCCGGGCTCTGCAGGCGTGTGGGCTCCTGGAGGACATGGGGAGGTGAGAGAAGGTGCTGTGTAAATACCTCCTGCCCCATGCCACACTGCTCTTGGGGAGTCTCCTCATCCTTTCCCACTCCACCTCCTCTCGTAGAGTCTCCCCTGTGCATCTTTTGACCCCTTCTGGATAAAATCCTCTCCCATGCTGAGAGCATAGAGCACATCTGGGTGGGGAAAGTGAGAAGAGGGGGACCCCAGAGCTCTCCTTTTGCATGGTGCTTGCTTTAACCACACAGGGCTGGCTCCTGAAGACCCCCTCGTGTTTTGCATCCCTTAAACCCAGTTATGTCTTCCAGTGTCTCCCCATACCAGCACCTCTTAGGCCCACAAACACCCTCTGTGCTCTGGAATGCCATGATCCACCCTCTGCTCAACATGACCCTGCGAGGCATCGCCTGGTACCAGGGTGAGCCCCTCTGTTTCCATCCCCCGGGGGTGGAGCAGCCCCTGCTGTCCCACCAGGCTCTCACCAGCCCCTGTTTTTGGGGGACAGGTGAAGCCAACACCCTCCTGCATACGGACCAGTATAACTGCACCTTCCCCGCGCTCATCGCTGACTGGCGCCAGGCGTTTCATGCTGGGTCAGCCGGACAGACGGAGCTGCTCCTGCCCTTCGGCTTCGTGCAGGTGTGTAGGGGGCAAGAGGCAGGACCCCCACCCTCCTGTGGAGACACCCAGGGAGGGTTTACCCACACTGGAGGCCACTTCCAAGCTGGCAGCAGGGAGAGGATCCTGGACACACACGGCCATCCTGCCAGGTGCCCAATCCCAGGCAGGGGCTGCGGAGATTGGTGGCTAAGCTGCTCTTCCATCCCTCTCCCCACCTTGCAGCTGTCCACCTACCGCCATCAGAGCCCGGACGACAGCTTTGCCCGGCTGCGCTGGCACCAAACAGCCGACCTGGGGGTTGTTCCCAACACCAGGCTGCCTGGCACCTTCATGGCTGTGGCCATGGATCTGGGCGATGAGCACTCTCCCTACGGCAGGCAAGTCCTGGGCTGGGGTGAGAGTTCCAGGGATGAAACTTTCAGGTACCAACCTCACCTCCCTCCTCTCCCTTGGCAGCATCCACCCCCGGGACAAGCAGAATGTGGCACACCGCCTGCTGCTGGGGGCCAGGGCTGTGGCATATGGGGACAAAAAGCTGGTTTTCCAGGGGCCATATCCCACCCGGGCTGTCCTGGAGGTGACCAGAGGGCTGCTGAACATCACCTACAACCAGGAGCTCATCTGCCGTCAGAGGGACACACGGGCATTCGAGGTGAGGAGCAGGGAAGTCCTCCCTACAGCACTGGGAGGGGGAAGCCCATGCTGATGGGGATTTCTCTCCTCCTCAGGTGTGCTGCTCCAGCCAGGCATCCCCATGCTGGTGGCTGCCAGCACCGGTGGTGGCAGTGAGGTCCCACACGGTGACACTGGCCCTGGGCAGCTGTGGGACACTGGTGCTGGCCCTGCGCTACGCCTGGGCTGAGTGGCCCTGTGAGTACCAGTCCTGCCCCCTCTACAACCTCCAGGGGCTGCCTGCACCTCCCTTCCTGCTGGACACCTTCCCCGCAGGGAGAAGCGCTGGAGGGAGGGAGCTGCTCCTTGTCCCCAGCTCTGGGTTCTCCCAGGGGATTTAGGGGACAGGAGGGAGCTCAGGCCTCTGGCAAATTGCTCAGAGCTGCTGGCACCATGCCCTTCCTGATCTGGGGAGACAGCAGGCTTGATTACTGTTCTACTAATTAAACAACTTTCCGGCTCCTCTTTGGCCTCAAGTCAAGGCTGCAGGGGGAAAAAAAAGCCAATTTACAATGAAATTTGTGAAAAACTATGTTAAGAGAAGCAACAAGACACACTAATGGGAGCTGAACCCTCACTGCTGCTCCCGCATGCCCATGTAGCTGGTCCTGGCCCCCCAGGACACCCCATTTCTCGAGGCACAGACTGCTGACCCCCCATGGCAGGATCCAGGGTTCAGAGTCCAGCTGTGGGGTGGAGAGGGTGAGAGAGGAACTCTGCCAAAAACTCAGCCAAAGCCTGAGGCTGGGCTGAGACAGGAAGCTGCAGAGGGCACAAGTGCCTTCCTCCTCTCTCTCTTAACAAACACTTAATAAATAGTTAACAAACCAGCTCATTTTATTCCTGGATTCTTACTTTCCTTCAGAGATGCATCCCTTATCCCTCCATCCCCTCCTCCTGCCTTAACTGCAGGGAAATTTGTGTGGAAGAGGCACAACGTGGCACCCAGTACTCAGAATAAGAGACCTGAGAGGTTCTGCACAAAAATATTGATTGTTTAACCCTATTTTTTCTGGAAAACTGTACATAAGAAGGGAATCCCAGGTGCAGGAAGAGCAGGTGGGCTCACCCCTGCTGCTGTGTCACAGCCAGTTTAATGTGCTCAAGCAATGCTGGCAAGAAGGATGTGGATCAAAGTGGATCCCAGGATCGCAGGATCCCTGCCTGCTACCTGCTCTTGGATCAGGCAGAGCCAAGTGAGTCCCGGGAGCCTTTCCCCATCACTTCCACTCCAGGCTTTGGTTCTAGACAAGGGGAGAAAGAGCAGGAAGTTAAGACTGGGATCTGGGCTTTCTCCTCCAGCCTGTGACTGGCCCCAGAGTCAGCTGTGCTGGCCCTGTGGTTGCCATGCCAACGAGGATGCAAAATCCAGCCCAATCTGGGGATTTTTAAACCACAGCTCAGACGGTGTTTGGGGCCAGGAATGGAGCCCAGGCCTCCCTGCTCCCACCTGCAGGAATGGGCTGTCCACACAGCCTGGAGACAGCTGCCATGGGCACCAGGGATTTCTGTGAGACCCCGAAGGAGGCACCTGGATCCCCAAAACCCAAAGCATGTGGGAGAGGGAGCAGTGCAGGCCCTGGGGATGTGGCTCTGCTTCAGAGTCTGTCTCCATCTCCACACATAGCCCTGCTGTGCCTGCCAGTGCCATGCCAACAGGAGAAGGGGACAGGCATGGTATCCTTGGCATCAGCTCCCCAGGATTTAAAGCCCCCAACCCCACTCCCAGCAGGCTGAGCTGACAAAACCAGGGACCCCCTCAGCCCCCCAGTTTGCCCAGAGCTTGGATTTAAGCTGCAAGTTCTCCGCTTGCAGTTCCTATAGCAACTCCTGCCCACGCCTGGGATTGCAGCAGCATCACATCCCAGCTGCCAGAACCCTTTGCCCAAGCTATCAGCCCTCACAGGACCCCCAGCAACGCCCCAGCTCTCTCCCAAACACCTTAAGGTCTTGGCAAAGGGTTTGGTGTGGTGGTGGATGGATCCAGCTGCATTCCTGGGGTGGGATCTGCCAGTGTGGGAGCCAAGAGGAGAGGGAAGAAGTTGTCTCTACCCAAAGAGCCTACCTAGGGCTGCGCCATTGGAGAGGGCTGTGCTGCCTCCGGCCTCAGGGGTGCAAGCTTGGGGTTTGGGCTTGGTGGTCTCCAGCCCAGCCAGCAGTGTCATGAAATCCACAACAGTGTCGATGTCCTCTTTGTTGGCAGTGGCTTCCCTCAGGGCACTGACAGCGTTGAGGCGGCTGAAGGAGGTCAGCTTGGAGATGTTGGCACGGAGGAAGAGAAGGATGATGTTGAGGTCATTGAGGGGGCAGGTGAGCATCCTGCGGCTCAGCAGGTCGAAGGCAGGCAGCATCTCGTAGACAGAGAGCAGCCCCTTGTCCCACTGGCAGAGCTGCAGTGCGTTGTAGATGACAACAGGGATGAGGAGGACATAGACACTGCCGATGGAGAGACTGATGAGCTGGAAGACGGAGAAGAAGACCAGCTTGCAGGGGATGAGTGGGGGGATGTGGGGTTCTGCCTGGAGCAGCCCCGTTTTGATGGAGCAGCTGAACTCATCCTGGAAGAAGATGTTGAGGTGCAGGAAGACCAGGTAGAGGCAGGTGGCAGCCAGGAAGAGGAGCAGCAGCAGGTTCCGTAGGATGTAGATGAACGCCAGGGCGTGGGCATGCTGCTTGCAGGTCAAATACCGCTCCAGCAGTGGGAACTCAAAGTACCTCTCCTGGCGAGCCCTGGGGACAGAGGGGCACAGGGGAATGAGAGCCACCCCACAAACCATGTCACTTCACCTAGGTCTGATTGACTTGGTTGACTCTCCCCCTCTGCTCTGCTCTGGTGAGACCCACCTGGAGTGCTGCACACAGTTCTGGTGTCCCCAAAATAAGAAGGACATGGAACTGTTGGAGCAAGTCTAGAGGAGGCCACAAAGCTGATCAGAGGACTGGAGCCCCTTCCCTACAAGGACAGGCTGAGAGAGCTGGGGCTGTTCAGCCTAGAGAAGAGAAGGTTGTGTGGAGACCTCACAGGATCTGAAGGGGCTTCAGGGAAGTCAGAGAGGGCTTTGTTAGAAACTGCAGCAATGGGCCAAGGAGTAATGGGAATAAATTGAAAAAAGGGACATTTAGATTAGATATTAGGCAGAAGTTTTCTCTGTGAGGGTGGTGAGACACTGGCACAGGTTGCCCAGGGAGGCTGTGGCTGCCCCAACCCTGGCAGTGTTCACAGCCAGGTTGGCTAAAGCCTTGAGCAACCTGCTCTGGTGGGAGGTGTCCCTGCCCAGGGCAGGGGGTTGGGGCTGGATCATCTCTGAGGTTCATTCCAATCCCTTACCATACCATGATATGATACTATGAAGTCCATCCTGCCCACAGCCACAGTCACAACACCACGTGGACAGACTCCAAGGGCTGTGGTGACCCGGCAGAGCCTCACCTCTCATACTCCTCCCAGAACCGCTCCGGCTCGGCGCTGGCCTGCTGGACCTTCCTCATGTGCTGCACCAGGCGCACGGAGCGGTTGTAAGATTTGTCCAGTTCATCGATGATGAAGAGGAGGTCAGAGTGCAGGGCGGGGGCAGCAGCGTAGCGCCACAGCAGGTATGGCAGGTACATCAGCACAGCCACCACCAGCAGCGAGTAGGGGAAGACCTGGGCAAAGCAGACAAGCGTGCGTTGAGGGGTTTGGTGCTGCTCCCCCTCTGTGCACACCCAGGTGGGACCTGGGGGCACCCCGATGTGGCTTTGGCCCTACCTTGAGAGTCCAGAGGGACTTGGTGACGGCGTGGCCCTCAGCGTCGAAGCCATGGTGGATGAGGGAGTCCCAGCAAGCTGTGTCAGTGTAGGCAGACTGCTTCCCCGTGAAGTTGGTGGGAGAGAAGCAGCTGATCTGGGAGCCTGGGGTGAGGAGGAGGAGGGTGAACCTCAGCCATGCAGGCTGGGGGAGAACTCCACATCCAGGAGCAAGCGCCTTACAGGAGGGTGATTACATCTAAGGCATCACTTTGAATTAAAAAAGCCTTTTTCTTGGTCATTTTGGAGCTACCCTTCCCCACTGCTGTTTCCAGCAAGGACTTTCACGTCTCTTCCCGAACACAAACCCTTTGTGCGCTGTGGTGTGTACACGGTGCAGGGAATTAGAGACCAGCCATAAACTGGACTCAAACCAAATCCCTGGGGGCAGCAGTGGGATGTTGGTCGAGGCCAGATTTAGCCTGAGGTCATGACACACCATCAATACATCCCTCTGTGCTGCTGGCACCCTCCTCCTCCCAGTCTGAAACAGCCCCGCGGCACCCAAAGGTGCTGGGCACAAGCAGCCGAGGCTGGGCATCGATTCAGCACTGCTCCTGGGTTTAGCACAGCCATTCCCAGGCTTTCCTAGCGAACAGTGATCCATTAAAAACAATCAATAAACACCCATGAGGCAGAACAGCTCCTAACAGAACAGACTTCCAGGCTGCTGTGCACCGAGAGGTTTGCTGTGACAACCAAACCGGCGCGGGTGATTGCCCATGACTCAAAGATCCCTTTGGGAAAGCCACGACTCACCGGCAGAGAACTCCCGGGCAAAGGCCAGCGAAACGAGGCACAGGGGCAGCCCCACAGTGATGAACTTCAGCAGGCGATCGCTTGGCAGCTCCAGCCGAAAAAACGCGCGGCAGCCCTTGGGCTGGGGAGCTGCCGGGATCCGGGAGCAGAGCGTCAGAGAGCATGTACTCGGCAGCTGTGTGTGAGAGGGACATTTTGCAGCGAGGAAGAGGAGACGATGGTGAGTGCTGCTGGTGCCTGGTGGCTCTGGTGTCCGAGGTGTGAGCGGCTCAAGCAGCGACTTTGTCGGGCTGAGTCGTCTCCTGCAGTCCAGCAGCTGCAAACGACAGCCCAGGCAGGGCGTTAAATCGCCTGTAATTACAGGGGAAGCCGTTTCACAAATAGAAAAACCCTGCCCTGCAGCGGGCTGGGCAGGCAGTGTTCCTCCCTGACAG